GTTGATTTTCTCATAATCGAGTTATTGAAATCGAAATTGAAACTTGAAAATTGTCTGAAATTGAGATTTTGAAGAATCTATGCAGAAAATTATGTCTAAAAATCAAGTTTTGAAATTCATTCCCAGTTTTATGTTTTTCTGATTTTTTTTTCTTTTCATAGGGATTAATTCTATTTTTCGTATAGGAAATTAATGAACGGTAGTTGTAATTAGGTATGATTATTTTGATTCATACTTGATTGGTCCTTCCTTCCTCATATTTCCATTGATTTGTGGTGCACCTCATGGTTAGGTAATGAAGAATATACATGAGAGAACTGATTCTCCAAAAAAAAATTATACAAGTTCAACTTATTCTCCAGATAGAATTTTTATTGGAAATGTGTTCCTAATTGCTAATATAAGTTGCTGATTTTTTTCATTTGCTAAAATATGTTGTTGATCTTGTTAATATGTGCTGATATGTTGAAATTTATTGTTGATAGTGTTATGTTTGATTTGGATTAGTATTAATATGTTTAATATGGATTTTATATAGTGTTTATAAAAAAAGTTGTTTTGGTTATTTTATAAAAAAAATCATTAAATTAAGCCAAAAATAAAATAGGAGGGTAAAATTATCATTTTTATAATTCAGCAATGCAATTTAGAGGTTCCAACCAAACAACATGTAACATCCCAAAGTTTAAGACCGAACATTTCATTTTTAATTAAGTGGCTATAAAACCAATAGTCTAAAAACATCCATAGTGTCATCCTATATCAACACCAATATGTCAATAATCAAAACATGTCATAGTAAAATAGCATCAGAGTATAACTCCCAAATATCTCATGTGCGGAAATCACGGTGTGACGTGCTGCGATCATGTCGGCTCATTTCCTTTTGAAGAAGAGGTACTTGAAACCAAAACTGAAACCGTAAACACGAAGCTTAGTAAGTTCCCCCATCATACCACATACCATACATTAAACATATTGCCAAGCATATTTAGGTGCTGGCCTACCCATTCGGTCTCTTTCAACCGGTAACCACCTAGCATATCTAGGTGCTGGCCTACCCCTTCGGTCTCTTTCAACTGGTAACCTCCTAGAATATATGGGTGCTAGCCTACCCCTTTAGCCTCTTTCAACCGGTAATTGCCTAACAAATATCTAGGTGCTGGCCTACCCCTTCGGTCTCTTTCAATCGGTCACGAGGACTATTTCACCCCTACCGCCACTACATAGTATCATATCATATAAACACATAAATCACATACTAATTAGCATATCTGAGTGTTGGCCTACACCTTCGGTCCTTTCGACTAGATACGTGGTCTATTTCACCCCTACCACTACCACATAATAACATAGCATACAAGCACATAAATTTAAATAGATATTGGCTTTCCAGAAAATTATCACAAAGACAATCGTATCTACTGTAAACAACTACTAATGGGTCGACATTGGTGCCTTCGACCCATTCATACTGGGAAGGTAACTCACCTCGAATACTGGCAAGTAGCTGAAAAATCATCGGCTCCGGATATCAACCCAACTCAAGCTCCTAAACATAAAAGATTTCCTTCAAGTACCCTTTCATAATCATAACCCCTTACGGGTCAACTTTTGTCAAAGTCAAAGTCAAAGTCAACGCTCCGAGTTGACTCGACTCGTCGAGTTCTTAAGAATCATAAATCAAGAAATTCCGATCCAACTCGTCGAGTTTTCCTCTAACTCGCCAAGTTCCCCCTTAACTCATAGAATCTTGAAATCACGATCCAACTTGTCGAGACATTTCGACCTAACTCGTTGAGTTTCTCTATGAACTCGTCGAGTTCTTCATCCTGTCAACTTTCTTGATGCATTAAGTCCCTATTCATCAAATCAAGGACCTATCTTCTGGACCCAAGCTGGAAATATGTCTAGAAGGGAAACTTTACCCATTAAGAACCTCTTCCCAAGGCATAAACTCAAACCCTAACCCAAAATGGCTTAGGTTCAACTCTAAAAGCCATCAAAACTTCAAGATGGACCCTAAGGTCATAAATCTGGACTTAGGGGACAATTTGGTCACATAAAGTTCCCATCTTTACTTACATGCATGACCTATTAGGGTTTAAAAGACCAAAATAATGGTCTAAAGGTTGCATGTGACTTCCATGGCTATAAAGTTGGCACCTTTATGCCATGAAGCCCCTTCAAGACCCTTGATATGGAGAGTTTGCCCAAATGGGACGTCCAAATCCCAACCATCAACATACTTGGACCAAAACATGAAGCAAAACATCCTAAGACTATATATAAGCATGCCATAGACAAGGTTGAAGCTTTATACCTCCGATGAACTAGAAATGAAGCCCAACTTTTGGATATACTCTCTTCCCACACGTTCTTGCTCCTCTTTCAAGCTTCTTCTTCTTCAAACTCACTAAGAATGCACAAGGTTAGCTCATAATTACCACAAAAAGCTTAGGGTTTCGAGATTAGGGTTTTGGGAACTAGAGGTTGGAGATGAGGCCAACACCTTGGGGTTAAGGTGTTTAAATATGGTGCAAAACCCCAAAATTAGGGTTTCATTTCAGCTAGCCGACTCGTCGAGTTGAGGCCTCTCAACTCGTCAAGTAGGTTTCCAAATCCACTTTCAATTCATCTCCACTCGACGAGTTTGGGGCCTCCAACTCGTCGAGTTTCTATATAAAAGTGAATAATTATAATTTATATACATACTAGGAACCATGCGTTACACAACATTTGAAATTTCATATCTTAAAAATTTAGATCCTTTTAAAAATTCAAACCTCTAAAAAATTCAGTTCTTAAAAATTCAGATCCTGCCAAACAACCCCTTATATTTTTTCCCCTAATCAACAAGTAAGAAACATGAAACACATAAAACAAACAGATCGGTTGGTTAAATTTGCAGCAAAAATATAAAGTTAATGATTTAACTGAAAAAAATACAATGTCAAAAATCAAAATTTATAGACATTTAATAAAGGTTGTCAAGATCGAGATTTGACTTAAGATCATTTTACGTTTTGTTAGATCATGATCGTAAGATCGGACCGAGATCAAAAGATCCTATCAAAATAAAATCATACTCAAATTCACGCACAAGATAATCGGTGTGACTTATATATATATATATATATATATATATATATATATATATATATATATATATATATATATATTATAATTTGATGTTGATTAACATTTTAATAATGGATCAACTTTAAAAGAAAACAACTTAATTTTAAAAAAAAGCGATAATTTTGATCATGTACAATTAAAGACATAAGATCACAAATGAATTATTATGAGTGTGTTCTGCCTAATTCAAGATAAATTGATTAAATTGTGACGTTTTACAAGATATTTTTCAATGTACGATCACTTGAACAAAATTTTGATACTCGGTTATATAGTTGAACTTAAGAGCTAAGAGATGAAATCGAGATCGGTTTATATTTGTAGAATCTTAAATTGATAAGATCTTAATTTTAAGAACCGTATCTAATATTTTTTTGAACAAATTACACGAATGGTCCTTAAGGTTTTGTCTTTTTCCCTAAAGTAGTCCTTACGGAACCTTTTTCCCTTAGATGATACCTATGGAGCAAACCTTGCACACAAAAGCCCCCTGTGACTAACTTTGCTAACAGATTCTGTTAAGTTTTATGAAATGACAAAAATACCCTTTGTTTTATGCACATAAATGGTACCCCCTCTCTCTCTCTCTCTCTCATCATATGGGTCTTTTACATCTTCAACTTCATTCCTCTGTTGTTTCATTCATTCAGCATCGGCGACACTTAGGAACACCGGCAACCACATCTCCGCCAGCACCCTCGTGCCCGCTGCTACTGTTCGTGATGCTATCAATTGACGAGATGAGAAGCTCACCGGAGGAAGCAATTACCACTCTTTTTCCCCTCTCATCTCCTTCTGGTTTTGCCGGAAAGCACTGATCCGATAGATGACTTCTTCTTCTTGAACTTTCTCTTTCGTTACACATGTGGGATTTCATATCCTCTACTAGTATCAGATGGTGGTAAACGATGGTCTAAGGATGACGAAGGCGGAACCGATCAAGATTCTGATTAGGGTGAAGAGGAGATGTTGTTCTTTGAGGATGTAATTGATGAATCTTGTGAGATATCGGTTAGGGATTTAGGTGAGCAAGGTGGGGTTTGACTAGTCGGCATTTCTTCATCTCTCCTTTGATTTGCATTTGATTATTTATGAAACTGCTTCATGTTGTTCATTGTGATTGAATCTTCCATTCAAAATTATGTGTGTGTTTTTTTTTTTTTTTTTTTTTTTTTTTTTTTTTTTTTTTGTATAGTGGTTAATGGGTTATGAGCAAGTGAAGAGCATGAGAATGGAAATGGGTGTAGAAATGATGTTTATGCTTTCAGGTGTTCTTTCAAGTTTGTAAAATGCTACAGGGGAACATGTTTGATCTTATTGCCCACCAAGTGTTTGATCTTTTGTCTGAATGATCTTTCCATGGTGCAATGTTCTTAGCTACGCCTAAAACACGGTTTGCCCACAAATTTCTAAATTTGGCTTTTAATTTTTTGAAGCAATTGTGAAAACCCCTAAATCATTACCTGGTGGAGAGAGAGAGAGAGAGAGAGAGAGAGAGAGAGGACCATATGTGTGCATTAAACAAAAGAGTATTTTTGTCATTTAACAAAACTTAACATAATTTGTTAGCAAAGTTAGTCATAAGGGTTTTTTGTGTGCAATGTTTGTTCCGTAGGTATCATTTGAGGGAAAAAAGTTTCATATGAACTACTTTAGGGAAAAAATCAAAAAACAAAAGCTTAAGGACCATTCGAGTATTTTTTTTATTCAATTTGCATTTTTTTTAATTTATTTATTTAATTTTTAATTATATCCTATTCTATTACATATTTCTCCAATTATTTGGATAATATCATGGTTATTGTACATGGACGAGATCTCAGCCCTCTGCTTCTCTTCCGTCTCTGTAATACCGCAGAATGCAAGTGCCCGCCCCGTTTCGTGCACCGGCTTGGGTATCCACGCGCCGCCTCCTCGAACAGAAACTATCAGACCTCCATAAATGCAACGATCTAAGACAACTGAAACAAGTTCATGCACTCATATACAAATCCAGTCTTGACCAGGACCCATTCGTCATCCCCAAACTAATCACTGCCTTCTCTCTCTGCCGCCAAATCCCTTGCGCCATCAAAGCCTTTAACCAAGTCCACGAACCCAACGTCCATTTATACAACACTATGATTAGAGCTCACGTTCACAATTCTCAGCCTGCCCAAGCCTTTGGGATTTTCTTCTTGATGCAAAATTCCGGTGTTTGTCCCGATAATTTCACTTATCCTTTCCTTTTGAAGGCCTGTGCCGGTCAGAATGATTTTCACTTGGTCAAAATGATTCATAGCCATATCCAAAAATTCGGTTTTTCTTCGGATATTTACGTCCCTAATGCTTTGATTGATTCATATTCGAGGTGCGGTTTGGTGGGTGTAGGTGCAGCTAAAAAGGTGTTCAGTGTGATGGAAGATAAAGATACTGTTTCTTGGAACACAATGATAGGTGGCTTGGTGAAATTGAATCGATTAAGCGAAGCACGCCAGCTGTTCGACGAAATGCCTGAGCGTGATATGGTTAGTTGGAACACCATATTGGATGGTTATGCCAAAGCAGGACAGTTAAACGATGCGTTTGAACTGTTTGAGAAAATGCCTGAGAGAAATGTTGTCTCTTGGTCTACTATGCTCACAGGTTATAGCAAAGCTGGAGATATGGATATGACAAGAATGTTGTTCGACAAAATGCCTGTCAAAAATATGGTTTCTTGGACCATAATAATATCTGGCTATGCACAAAAGGGGCTTGCAAAGGAAGCAGCCGATTTATATGTGCAAATGGAGGAAGCAGGATATCGCCCTGATGATGGGGCTATAATCAGTATTCTAGCTGCATGTGCAGAGTCTGGTTTAATTTGGTTAGGTAAACGAGTGCACCAATCTATTAAAAGAAACAAGCATCATTGTAGCACCCTTATTGAAAACGCATTAGTTGATATGTACGCCAAATGTGGCAGCTTAAACAGGGCATTAAGCATCTTTAATAGGATGTCTAAGAAAGATTTAGTATCTTGGAATGCCATGATTCATGGTTTAGCAATGCATGGACATGGAAACGAAGCACTTGAGCTTTTCTCCAAAATGAAACAAGAAGGGTTCACCCCAGATAAAGTTACATTTGTTGGTGTTCTATGTGCATGTACTCATGGAGGCTATATTGATGAAGGGATTCAATATTTCTACACAATGGAAAGAGACTACGGGGTTCCTCCTGAAATTGAACATTATGGATGTGTGATTGATCTTTTAGGGCGTGGAGGGCGTCTTCAAGAAGCATACAGGTTAGTATGCACTATGCCAGTTGAACCTAATGTGATCATATGGGGTGCCCTTTTAGGGGCTTGTAGACTTTATAATGCAGTGGAACTTGCTCAAGAAGTGTTGGAACATTTGGTTAAATTAGAACCTGAAAATGCTGGAAACTATTCCATGCTGTCTAACATATATGCTGCAACTGGTCAATGGGGTAGTGTGGCGGATGTAAGGTTGAAGATGAAGAACATTGGGAATGAAAAGCAATCAGGGGCTAGTTTACTTGAATTAGAAGATGGGGTTCATGAATTTACTGTAAAGAATACTTTGCATCCTGCATCTGATAAGATATATCAAATGGTTGATGGATTGAGTGATCATATGAAGAAAGTTGGTTATTTCCCAGATGTGTTTTAGTAATACAAGTTAATAAAATGGGGGAGATAATGAGTGCTTTTGGAAACTGACTTCACTGATCTTGTTGTATGTATATTCATCATGTACATTTTTGCAATTGCTTCTGTTATTTCTTGTTATACATGAAATGTTTAAATCCTATGTCCTGTTATATCTTTTGTTCATCACAAGAACATCTTAGAGAAGTTGGTATTCATTCTACTGTTATAGATAAGTTCTTGCTTTCATCATTTATTGTTTCATGTGAATTAATTTGCTTGCTTGTTTTGATCCTTGTTTGATGACTTCCTATGGCTTTTTAGTGATATGTTATTGATTTGTTTACCATGTTTTGTGAATTGAATTCATCCCTAACCTCCTCATTTAGCCCGTTGACCAAAATACCCTTCTTCCTCCCCACACTTTGCATTTTAGTCAAACTATTAATTTTATTTCTTTTGGCCCATTAAACGACTTTATTAGCTTTAGTCCAATTATTTAATAAAAGAGCTTAATTAATTTAGGGCAATATAATAAAAGCCATTATATTTTTCTATTTTTGTGGTTTAACTGTTGTGAATCAAAATATTGCACTAAATCTATGCAAATTTGACAATTTTTTTCTATTGTGACAACTTTAACTTTGCTATAGCGGACAGTGTTCGGATATGGAAAAAAATTGTCAAAGTTAGGTGGTTTTAGTGGAATATTTTGATTCTCAATGGTGAAAATACAAATGTGACCAAAATATAATGACTTCTATATAACTTTTCTATATATTTCTCACTAGATCTATTAGAGCATCTACAACCTACCTTTTGATCCTATTTCTTATTTCATTTCCCTTTCAATGCCTCTTCAACCCCACTTATGAATAATATTATTCCAAATATAGAGTAATGCTTTTTATTTGTATCAAAATAGAGTGGGATTTTGGTTGTAAATTTTAATCCCTCTCAATTTAATATTTATACATTTTTAGTATAATTTAATTTACTAATTATAACTTAAATGTAATGACCAATATTTGTACTATCATGTTATATATTAAATACATTAAATTATATTAACTAATCATAAAAATGAAGATTAATAACATTCAAGAGTATTAAAAATGCTTTACATATATTTAAACTATTTCAAAAGATCAAAATACTTTATAACATTATAATGAAGTTTAAAATGGTCTATTATACTTATGTCATGTATCTTGGAAAGGGAAAAATTCATATGTACACACCTTGGTAGTTATGTTATTTAACTACTTGTTTTGACCTTATTCTTGTCCTAATCCTTTTCTTCGTTTTTGATCTTGTTGAATACCTTGCTAAAATCATATTGAATTGTTCCAATACAATTTTCAAAATCAATAATATAACCCACCTATGTAAATCAATCCTACATAAACAAGACACCTATTATATCTTCCATTGCCTTTCGATGACATTCTTATAATGTCACTATGCACTTTTGTAATAAACATATAAGTCAATAGGCTCAAGTAATATCATTTTTTTGTTATTGTAATCAGTTTATACAACTTTTATAACTATTGACCCATATAAGAAGTTGTATACAATTTATGAACTAAAACATGTTAATGATATTCAATAACATGTTTATGTAATTATGTCCTTCAATTTATCCTTTAATTCATTTATCTAAGCTTCCTTGCTTCCGATTCAAATTCAAAATTACCGGTTCTTGGAATTTGCTCAATACATATTATTGATAAATAACATGTTTACATAATCCATTTCATGAGTATTTTATCATGTGATAATCCATAATTTAAGATTCTAATGATGTTATTTTATCCATGTCAACGATATTTAATTTTCCTTTAACTATCTTCATTTCTAACATGCAAGTATTTCATCAAAAGTATGGTTGTTGAGATTTTCCAAGAACTTGTAAATTAAACCCATAAAAAAGAAAAGTAGCTTATGAACTACGTAGAAAGACCCTTAGCAATCATGGATAAGAAAACAAAGACCTTACGTAATAAGGTAATCAGTTTAGTGAAAGTCCAGTGACAACACCGTAAAAGGTCGGAACGGACTTGAGAAATAGAAGAAGAGATGAGGAGCAACGACCCAGAGTTATTTAGTTAGATTTCGGGAACTAAATCCTTGTAAGTGAGAGAGAGTTGTAACGCCTTATTTTTATTACTCGCATAGATAGTAATAACTAGTCCCGACCCAATACATGGGCGACTTGGGCTTAGGCCCAGGGCAGCAAATAATTGGGGACATCAAAGAAGTCCAGCTACATATGTATAATATATATAAAATCGGCCCAAAAACTTACCCCAAAAGTCTGCATACGACGATGAGAGAAAGAAAGCGAGAGGACGGTGACAGAAAGAAAGAAAGAAGGCGCGCCAATTGCCAAACGTTTAGTGCTCCTGGAAAAACCAAACGTTTCGTGTCTAATGCCTAGAATCCCGTTGGCGTCGGGTTTGATGGGAGAAATCAATACGTCTCCACTCTCCCGTATAAAAAGGAAGAACAGGTTTTCAGGTTTTGCTTTCGTTTCCTTCCAGTCGAATTGATTTTACTCTTTTTACATACTTGATTCTCCGATTCAGTTTAGTCTTCAAACGCAAAGCTGTGATTTAGTCCGACTTATCATCGATTTGGTTATTTTAAAAGTTAGGGCAGCGATTTGGGTTAATTTATTCAATCTGTTTGATTTCTTAGTCATCTGCTTCGTTTTCTAGTTGTCTATTTTAGAATCGGGTGACCTAATTTCTTATCTATTTCATTACAGGAAGTCAAATTTCCGATCTCTTGTATTTGTACGTGATATTGCTGCGTGATATTGTTGTTTCAGGAATCATCAAATCATATTTGGTAAGTTTTAACTTGAAATTTGTGTTTATTTAGAAATCTAATTTAGTGATTTATGTTGCATATATCTGATTTATTCTCCAAGAGTTCATATTTTTTTTAAGTTTGTTTCTAAAATCTGCTCAATTTCTTATTCATCTGATTTGTTTGTTGGTTATTTAAAAATATGCTCACCTAATTTCGTCTCTGTTTCATTACAGGTAATCAGATTTGTCTTTTGTTTGTGTTTATATTTGATTTTGCTGTTTTAGAAATCATCAAATTATATTTGGGTAAGTTAAAACTTGAAATCTTTGTTTATTTAAGTTTGTTTATGGTTTAGAAAAAAATTGGTTAATTGCTTCTCTAAGAGTTTCTATTTTATATTTCAGTTTCAGGTTTTCAAAAATTGAATCTGATACAATTCAGATTTCTCCATTGTTTCAACATTCAACAATAAGATTTGGTGAGTTTAATTTTGCAATCTGTTTTGTGTTCATTATTCAATAATTGTTGTCTAAACTACTTTTGTTATTATTTATGTAATGTGAAGCAGGAGCTATATTTTTGACATTGTTGACTAGAAGTAGCAGAACTGCAGAAGCCTTATTTCATACAATTTGGTCAGGTTGTATCTTTCTTTGCTTAGCTTTTATAACTATATTTGTTGCGTTTTTAATATGCTTCCCCGAAAACAGCCATCAGGTGCCCAAAATAGAAAACGAAAGAAAAAAGAACAAGAAAAGGCTAATCAATTAAGAGGGTCTTTGAATAAATTTTTAGTTACGAATCAAAATGGTAATAAAAATAATTCTAATGATCCAATTAATAACACACCTAGTGCTTCCAATGATTCAGTTGAAATTCCTAATGATTTTGAAAACAATGATTCAGTTGAAATTCCTAATGATTTTGAAAACAATGATTTTGTTGATAAAGATAAACCAAGTGACTTTAATATCTTTGATCCTAGAGTATGGGGTGATTTAGATTCTAAAATGAAAAATTTACTAATAGAAAAAGGACCTAAGAGAGAAATTGATGCCAATACAGTTTTTCCAAAAGATTCATTTGGTAGACATTTTTCATCTGATTTTTTTATTCGTAAATTAAAAATTGGTGATTTTTATGATAGAAAATGGTTAGTGTATTCAAAAGAGCTTGATAAGGTTTTTTGTTTTTGTTGTAAGCTTTTTAAAACAATTCAAACTAAAAGTAATTTGGCAACCGAAGGAATTAAAGATTGGAAGCATCTTAGTGAAACATTAAAACAACATGAAAATAGTTCTGACCATATGATTAATTTAAGAACATGGACTGAAACACGAATTAGGTTAAATAAAAATGAAACAATTGACAAAGAAATTCAAGAAATGATAAAAAAAGATACCGAACATTGGAAAGAAGTTATGGTTAGAATTATTTCTGTTGTAAAATGTTTAGCAAAAAATAACTTGGCTTTTCATGGTACAAATGAAAAAATATATGAAAACTCAAATGACAATTTTTTAAGTGTAATTGAATTGATTGCGGAGTGGGATCCGGTAATGAAAGAAAATTTTCGAATGATTAAAGACAAAGAAACACATAATCATTATCTTAGTCATAAAATTCAAAATGAATTAATTGAAATGTTAGCATCCGAGGTTAAAAGTGCAATTATTAAAAAAATCAAAAATGCAAAATATTTTTCTGTTATTCTTGATTGCACTCCGGATGCAAGTCACCAAGAACAAATGACTTTGATTATAAGATGTGTAGATTTGGAAAGTGTTCTGTTAAAAGTAGAAGAGTTTTTTTTAGAGTTTTTAGTTGTAGAAGATACATCCGGTTTAAGTCTTTTTAATGTTTTACAAGATTCTCCTAAAATCTCTTGATTTGGATATTAACTATGTTCGTGGTCAAGGATATGATAATGGGGCGAATATGAAAGGTAAACACCAAGGTGTTCAAAAACGGTTGCTTGATATAAATAATAGAGCTTTTTATATGCCTTGTGGATATCATAGTTTAAATTTAGTTTTGTGTGATATGGCAAATTCTTGCCAAAAAGCAAAAACTTTTTTTGGTACATGTCAAACAATTTATAATGTTTTTTCTAATTCAACAAAAAAATGGAGTGTCTTACTTGAGTTTATAGATGATGTAACACTTAAATCATTATCAGCTACTCGTTAGGAAAGTCATATT